AGTATGCGCCACTACCCCCCCGCCCTTGCATAACTTGGGAGAAGCGCGCTGCAGGTGAACTGAACTTTCGCTCCGTCACTCCAGTAACGTTACGGGTTGTATGAACGCTGCTGGTTGCAGGTTTGGCGAGATAGCAGCCGTTGTGTGTTTATTAAAGAACAGCCTTCCAGACAACCAGAGTGGTTGTGAGTCATTTCCTGTCCGGTAAAGTGTTTCTGCTGCTCCCACTCCGCCATCCAATGCAACCAAGACGCTACCAAGTACAAAACAAGGACATCAAGGCAGGAGTGGCTGTATGCTATTTGGAACGTCCTTTGATTACCTGTTTAAAACATTCGCTGAGCGGTTCTGGTTCGGTTCCGTGGACTTCCGTGCATCTTAACCCTTATTAATAAAAGTCACAAGCAGCTACAGAAACCATCAGAGGTTAGCTGCACATCTGTTTTCATTCAGAGCGAGAGTTAAAAAACGGTCATGATCATTTCCTCCCGACATTTTCATTTCTCACATAATAAATAAATATCCATCATTTAATCTGTATTTTTATTTATATATGCTTTATTTAACCAGGAAGGTTTCTTTGAGATAAAAACCTCACTTTCATGGGAGTCCTGGCCAAGAGGCAGCTCAAGTTACAGTTACTAATACTTCAGTTACAAATAGTTACAGTTAAAATTACTTCAGTTACATGTTACAAATACTTCAGTTACAGTTACAAATACTTCAGTTATAAATACTTCAGTTATAGTTACAAATACTTCAGTTACAAATAGTTACAGTTACAAATACTTCAGTTACAAATAGTTACATGTTACAAATACTTCAGTTACAGTTACAAATACTTCAGTTACAGTTACAAATACTTCAGTTACAGTTACTAATGCTTCAGTTACAGTTACTAATGCTTCAGTTACATGTTACAAATGCTTCAGGTACATGTTACAAATAATTCAGTTACAAAAACCTCAGTTACAGTTACAAAAACTTCATTTACACGTTACAAATACTTCAGTTACATGTTACAAATACTTCAGTTACAAAAACTTCAGTTACAGTTACAAATACTTCAGTTACATGTTACAAATACTTCAGTTACATGTTATGTACCACATTACAAAACAGTGAGTCCGTCTCAAGGGCTCAGTCTGCTTTTAACTCATTCACTGCCAGCCGTTTCCTGATCACTAACGGCCTTCGCTGCCAGCGTTTCTCACCGTTTTTACTGTTTTTTTAAGAGTCATAGAACGTTGCGCACTAACATGATGTCGATGCCAAAACAACCAAAACAAAGAGGAGACTCACCTCTTAAATCAGGAAGAGTCCGCGTGTTTCGAGCGTTATCCGTTCTTTCATAATCCGTTGTCGAATTATGATCGGCAGACGCTTTTCCGGTTCGCGCCTCACTTTTTTTACAGGAACGGCCCAAAACGATCTCCTAACACATGGATGTGTTGCTTCCTGATCACGTGATCTGTGACGTATGCGGATGAAGATCGACTTCAGGGCTGAGATGTTTGTTCTCTCAGCGCTGGGGCTCGTTCTGATGCTCAAACAGTAAAAAAATGCAAATGACGACTTTAGTCGTCATTGGCAGTGAATGAGTTAAATGTGGTCAAGCAGATGGATGAATATATAATCATGAATATTTGTTCTAAACAAGCGGACAAACATGCCCAGCATCATATTAATGTTACAACTAAACTAGAGCGTAGAAACATTTTACCTGCTGCCTTCTGGCTCTGCTGCTGGGCTCCGACCCACAGACGCTCCGAGCTGCTGTCCACAGCTCCGCAGGGCGCCGATGGCTGCTGATCATGGAGATGATGCTCAGATGTTCTGATGGGAATCTTCTGGATAGACCTCGTTACCTCCAAATGTTCTGTGTAACGTTTAAAGTGTCTGCGCACCTGTATGCGTTGGGGTAATCACCAACGGCCTCACAACGCACAAAGCTACCGGTGCTTCCTTGTTTACACACCTAGCTATCCCACTATGGGAACAGTTGGCTAGTCCCCACCATGGGAACCCCCTGAAGCTCGGTTTTAGAGGCGTGTAGTGAAATGACTTTGTTAGGGTTACGGTTAGGGTATGGTCTCTGTTAGCTCAGCCCTGATGAAAAGGGACTTTTCAGGGTCTGCTGATCACACCTTTACCAAGCCACGCCCCTTCGTATAACCCGGTACGCTAACTAGTTTTGAGTATTTTACTTGTGACAACGACCGAGGCGTCTGAATTAGATCTGAGCCTGTGATGTTCTGACTTTGACCTGCAGCTGGTAAATACTGCCCCCTGCTGATCAAGGAAGGTGGGATACATCTCCTGGAGAAAGTTCTGGAGCTGGAGAGTTCTCATCCAGAGACCAAGGACATGGCCAGGTAGGAATTCATCCTGGTTCAGAGGTGTTTCCCTGGAGAACGTTACCAGTTTATTCGAGGACCTTCTTCCTGTCTGACTGCTTCCTCAGGAAGGTGATGGAGCAGTGTGAGAACTTTAAGGAGGATCCGATGGAAACCAACAATGGGCCAGAGGTGAACTACGGCCAGAGGGGCTGAGTCCACCAGAACCGGGCCCAGATGTGGATGGGCTCGACCCGACACCTCCTGCTGTCGGTACCACCGGGTTTTCACCACATCTTTTTGTTTTCTCCTTTTTGATAGAACAGAACCGAGTCTCTGGATCAGACCCGTTTGTTGGGTCGCTGTTTCCCCTCTCTCTCTTGTGTGTGTGTGTGTGTGTGTGTGTGTGTGTGTGTGTGTGTGTGTGTGTGTGTGTGTGTGTGTGTGTGTTATTGTTTTAAGTTCTCAAACGGGACAGAAACTTCTGCCAGGTTCTTGGCTGTGAGCTGGACAGCCAGTGGAGGTTCTGGACTCTGGCCCGGCTCACAGAGGCCAACACGTGTTTGGACTTCCTGCAGGCGAACACGCGTGTTATATATGTAAATATTCTGCTTGGTTCTGATTGGTTCTCATCCTTCTGCTGGTTTCTAAGAACTCTGACCCAGTCCAGACCTACAGAAACGGTGAGACCTGGTTCTGGAGTCCAGCAGTCCTGGTCTCGGGCCTGCTGGATGTCTGATCAGCTGATGTCCAAAGGCCAGTCTGTCCTGAAACCCAGAGGACGGAATAACACAACCCTCCTGTCTGAACCACCAAATGTTTCTGGTTCTGTTGGGCCCGTTTTCCACCTGAACCCACCAGAGGACTTGGACTCTCAGCTGCCTCATCAAGTCTACCCGAGTTCCTCCAAACAGAACCGAGTTTATGAGAAACCAGCTCATACGGGTTCGGTTTACCCTCCTGTCCTCTCAAAACCACAGAAGAAGAAGGACTGTAAGGTCCAGTGGAAACCTGACCCATTCCCAGATGGATCCACATGTACCCGACCCATTGCCAGCCCCCTGGTGGACCCATGTTCTCCATCCCATCTCCAGATCCAAAGTCCTATGAATCATGTAAAGCTCCTGGATTTCGGGAACCTGACCAGTTCCCTCTCTGGAATGATCAGCTGTGGATGGGATTACCCATTCTGACCGGAGAGGAAGCTTCTCAAACACCATTTTTTAGGAGAAATTCCTCATCATTAACGGAAATGAGATCAAAAACACGGAATTCAGATCCTTCCTGCTGGGATTTGGCTTCACTATGGAATTATCCTGGGATAATATTCTAAAGAGACATCTTTTTACAGCTGGTTGTTGCTCCTCTTCCTCTGGATTTTCCTCCTCCTAGATGGATCCAGTACTCTAGGATCTGGCAGGTTCTGACCTGGAGACAGAAAAGATGTGGACTTTCCGTTTGACGTTTTTCCGACACGTTCCATCTCTGATTAGGATGAATGACGGAGCTAAAAACCTCATTTTGGTCTCAGAGTCTCCCTTTGTTTCCCATCTGGTCTCAACTCCTCCTCGTTGCTTCCCTGTTGGATCCAGACGGGTCCTAGAGGAGCTGGATCAGTTCTGAATGGATCGCTGAAGCAGATTTTTAACTTCAGAAACAAGTTTGGATTTGTTTTCTTTTAAAGTTTTTTAAAATGATCCAGAGGAGTGCCACAAAGACTGGATATCAGACCCTTTTCCTGATTCTTCTTAAATAAAGAACTGGGATTTGATGCTCACCGAACAGAATTCCTGGTTGGTCTGATTCTTCATCGGTGATCTGTTTTGTTTATGGATGAACAAAGTCATGGGTGGGATGTTTTAGAAGGTTCTGATTCCAGATCCAGGTTTTATTCCTGATGTTCCATAAAACAGTAAATCCTAAACCCATCATGTTGTTAAAGCTCCAAACGCTTTAGATCTGGTTCAGTATCCAGAGTTGGATCACGAAGGTGGTGGGATTGCCATTTCCTCCTGGTCCGGCTTCTGTTTGAGCTCCGACTGGACTTCTCATCTTCTGTCCTTTTTAGATTTTCTGGAATCTGAAGAATTCAGTAGTTGCATTTTTCCAGACTGGATTCAGTTCCTTAGTTTGGGATTCAAATCTGTAAATAGGTAAGAGAGAAATGTTTTTTTTAGGAACTCACGATCAAATTCATGTTTTTCTAAAACTTTCCGAGTTTGGCTACAAATCAAAAGGAAAACCTAGATTCTGTGTCACGGGAATGCTCTAGTTTCTGCTTTTCCAGGATGTTTGGAGACAGTTTGTGATTATTTATGAGAATCCAAACCTGCTTGGGTGGAGCTGCTGTGTTTGAAACGGTTTGATGTTCCTGTGGGTGTGGATTTGTTCGTGTGCTGCTGAGGAGGGAAGTGGGAATGCCGGCATTAATGTAAAATATGAGTAAGCAATAAACATGGAGTGGTAAAAAACTTTGAGTCCGTTTTTAAATGAAGATCATCAAACTTTATGAAACGTTTATATAGCACTTTATCCTACAATACATGCAACTCAAAGTGCTTAACAAGTTAAAAAGGCGCCGCATACCCACATTCCCTCCCATCCCCAGAATTTTAAAAACAGTCTGACACAAAAAACCTTCACAACACTCATCCCCCCCCCCCCAACCCCCATGGAAAAAACACAATGGGCTGAGATTAGATAAGCCAGACCAGCTAAGATAAGGAAACGCCATCAGGGGAGCCATCTGCCCCGACAGCAGCAGATCCACGGCACCGACACAGGGCGCCCAGGTCAGGGAGGGCGGAGACCCCCACCTCCACCTAGGCACACCGGGAAAGCACCCAGGCCGCCACAGCCGACCACCGCCCCCGGGGCAGAGGGCTCCCACAGAGGAAACACTGGAAAAAGGTTAAATTAAGGTTAAAATATAAAATCATAAGAGCTAAAATGAGAATTTTAATATAAAAGTTATATAGATTTTTAAATAATGTTGATCATAAATCTATGGTAAAAACTGTTTAAAAAGCACGTATAAAGAAAGAATACATCAAATAAATAGATAAATAAACTAATTAATTCATTCATTAATTAAAAAAGTGAGCGTATTCAGTTAGAAGCTAAGCTAAAAAGATGAGTCTTGATTCTGTTTCTAAAAACATGAACGTTCTCTGCGGCCCTGAGGTCCCCTGGCAGCTCGTTCCAGAGGCGAGGACCGTAGTACTGGAAGGACGCCTCGCTGTGAATATGAGTCCTGACTTTAGGGATGACAAGGAGACGGCTGCCAGAGGAGCGCAGAGACCGGGTGGGTTCATACGGTAAAAGCAGTTCTGAACAACTGGAAGGCCCAAGACCGTTAAGACACTTAAAAACCGTTAAAAGTATTTAAAGAAATATTTTAAAAGATGAATGAAACTACAGAGACGAGTCTGAAATTTAAAACTTCCAATTTGTGGAAAACAAAGTTTATACGGTTTTATTCTGGACCAAAGTAAACCAGAGCCCTCAAACCTTTGTAGAAACTTTTCCTACGAGGTTGCAACTGATCCATTAGTCATTACCTTCTCAACCACGTGGACGTGGGTAGGCAGGTGGGCCTCAAATCAGTCAAAATAAAGTTGATTTTCATCAATAACATTTATCTGCATTTTCTTTAGAAGTAACAATTTTAATCTAATTTACTTCTCTATCTCATAGTTATGAGATACACATTTTGATGCCAACAGCATTTATTTTCTACTGATGGAAAAGTAACTAGGTTTTACCATACCACGTTTATTCTATAGCGCATTTAAAAAGCAGCATGTCAGCTGACCGAAGTGTTTAGTGTGATCACACCTGAAGGGGCTGTTCACTTACGTTCATTTATTTGGTTCAGTGACCCGTGAGCCCACTGTAAGGGGAGGAGACTTAGACTTAAGCTATAAGTGAACAGGGATATAAAATCAATTTTTAACAGAAATCCTCAAATAAGCAAGCATGTAGCAACAGTGGAGAGGAAAACTCCCCTTTAAACCTCCAGAGGATCCTGGCTCAGTATAAGCAGCCATCTGCCACGACTCACTGGATCCTCCTGCCATCTGTGAAGGATCCCACTGCGCCGATCCAGTGGGCTGCTTTACTAGAGCTCAAATGGACCAAAAGAGTATGGCATTGGCGTGTAGGCCCAGACCCCAGGGGAGGGTCTTGACCTTCAGGGTGCTTTTTAACTTTATTCCTCATGTTGTTGTGGCCATTTTATGAGTTTTAACCCACAGCTGCAGATGGATTTTAGGTGAGTGCAGTCTGGTTTAATGGTGGGTGTGCAGTGTATTGGGTTGGAGTGATCGGGTGCAGTGCCCTTTGGGGATGTTGTTCTGGCTTGGTACGGACCTGCTAGTCTGAGTAGCCAATAGATGTTTCTATGGCTACAATGTGATTTCTCAGTAGATATTCAATTTAGTATAAAATTAACTTTATTGTCTTTATCAGAGTGATTATATAATTAATTCAACAGCTGACCTAGTACTAGCACATTCCATGGTAAAGAAGGGCTGGC